AAGTCTGGGTTTTGAGGCAGAGGCATAAGAGGTGAGCAAGCACAGGGGCTAGAATTTCAGCACACTCCCTTAGAACACGAGGGGGTATTCCGTCTGGTCCATGCTCCTTACTCACATCCATTTTGGATAACATACCAGCAACCCTACGAGCGGAGATTATAAGAAAGTTCATAGGTTCAGTAGGAGGGGGATACAGTTGGAATCATCTAAGGTGGAGAATAAGGTGCCAAAGAGATTGGCTTTATCAGGGGGAGAATTGGCTATAGAGTTATCAGGTCGGAAGTGAGGAGAAGAGTGAGTGCAGAAGTTATTACAGATGTTTTTGGTTAAGGACCAGAAGGATTTACTAGAGGAAGAGTTAGTCAGGTCAGCGGTCTTCCTTGTTATAAAATTCCGCTTGGCCCTATGAAGAATAGCCTTACAACGATTCCTAGAAGTAATTAAAGAGGAGTGGGTAATAGGAGAAGGACATAGTTTCATAACTTGATATGCCCTATCTCTCTCCCTACATGCAAGAGAACATGAGCGATCAAACCATGATTGTAAAGTGAACATTTTGGTAGAAGATGGGATAAATGCACTCATACCACCCTGTATAACCCCAGCAATGCTCTCAGCACATACCGAGGCATCCCATGGAAAGTCGGAGAAGAGTTCTCGCAGAAATGCCAGTTTGCCCTCCGATAGTGGCATAGTTGGCGCTTAGAGAGGGGTAGGGGAGGTGGTCGTGCCCAGTTTGATTTAATAGAAATAAGATTGTGATCAGAAGACCCTAAGGGGGGCAGAAATTGAGTATGAATAGTGTGAGGGTTTAGATGTAAAACAAAGATCAAGAATGTTAGTAAGATGATCGTGTCGATCGGGAACAAGTGAAGGGTGTTTGATTATTTGTTCCAGATTATCAAGTAAGAAAAAAGAGAGTGCCTCAACTCCACCTGGGTCATCCTTTGCAGAGCCAAGCCACTCTCTGTGATGTATATTGAAATCCCCTAGGTAGAGGATCTCGGTGTTGGGGTGTACCAATAGCAGCGACTCATGGCAAGAAGTGAGATACTCAAAGAGTTCTAAATACAGTAGTTGGTAGAGTTGGGAGAACAGTATAGGAAACAAAGAAAAATAGTCATAGTTGGTAGAGATATTTTGAGCCAGATGACAACATAAAGGGAAGATTCAAGATCCTTGAGTCGAAATATAGGTGTGCGTTTGTTGCAGTAGGCGCATACACCTCCCTTAGAACGGAAGGAAGTATAAAGGTTATGGTTGGAGACTTGGAAAGGTTTGGGTGAAGCTGCTTTGGTCAGTTGAAGTTCGGAGAGTAGTAAGAGGTCGGGGGAAGAGGTTAATAGATGGTGCTCCACAGAAGGAAAACTGGATCTCAGGCCACGAATGTTAGAAAAATGAAGTCTGAAAAAAGCCGATCCTCCAGCAACCGCTGTAAAGTCAGTTGAGGCCCCAGTAGCTTGATGATGATGATGAGGTCGGCCCTGGGGTCCACAACCTTTCCGACCAGTGGGACTCATCCGAGAAGGCCCCGCTTTAATATTATTGTTAACTGATAACATAGAAGAATAAAAGAATAGAACAGATCAAGTCATAAAGGTTATATATGTTGTGTTGTCAATAGTAAGAGAGACAATTGAGACCCTACAATTGTGTGTAAATGAGGCAGAAAGACAGATCAGCAACCTGAAACTTGGTCACAATATTTGATGCCATATGGCAGCAGGGTCTACCGTTAGACAACACATTATGCTTCCAGTATCTTCCCAGGCGGTAGTACCTCCCTGTTTGATAGCTGCCTACTAACTATCACAATCTCCCTAAAAATACTTTAGCTTTCGTGTTTATTCAAGACATCTTCAGGTCATGAGACCCACTAATCCCCCGGCCAAGAAAGGGTGACCTGACATTCCATCAGAAGGTCAGTAATATGACACAACTAATCCTACACCCTACCTCCACCTGACATTGCATCAGGTGAGGTCAGTTACATAAGACCCACTAATCCCCCACAGCTCAATGGGAGTGGACAATACTGTAACAGTCTTTGCTGTAACACACAGCTTCATTAATGCCCATAGAGATTTTTTTATTTTTAAATATATTTATTTAACCAAACTTTTAGATAAACTATTCTGGATTATTATAGTAAAGAAATGGAGTTTCTAACTTAATTAGAACTGCATTTATGGACTCAGGTAGTTTAGACTCAAGGAAAACATCCCCAGCACCCAGAAACATTCTGGAGAAGTGGGTGAGTGTCCATCCATGCAAGATGTCTAGTTTAGACACCCGGAAACTTTTCCCAGTAACCAGAAAAGATTCCAGGGATAAGAAATTTTTCCGGGTTCGAGAAAGTCGTCTGATTAGCTGGAAATCACTCATCCTGTGAGTGTTCTGCACCAATTGTTCCAGCTAACAGGGATATCACTGTAGTTGAGTCTCTCATACCATTCCCTCTCAGAACATCCCCTGGCAGAGCACATCTCATTCAGGGGGCTTTATGCATTCTGAGTCCAAGACTTTGTCCTAACCTATCAATGAAAGGTTACCTAAACATTCACTCACCAGGTGAATCTGTAGTAATCCAACTGTGCTTTGAAAGGTGTCCCTTACCATATCATGTAACTCACACCTTCCAGCTATAAATTTGGGTCTTTGAAATTTTAAGCCTTCAAAGTCTTCCTGTTGATATGGAAACCATCAAGAGAGGAGGATGGATTTCCAAGTCACTTTACTCTTCCTCTAAATCATAAAGATAATTTTTAAGTTAAAACCTTTGTTTTATGGCATATGAAAAAACATTCAATGTTGTGTAAGGTCACACTATCTAATACCCTTCTCACATTTTACGAGATGCTGATACAGTATATACTGTATTCCATGATAAATGTGGGAAAGCTGGGCAACATGTTGACAGTTTGCAAGCAAGAAAAAGTGGAAGTTTTATATTTAAAAACATATGTTTATTGTTTGAGTCACATGCTATAGCAGGGAATTTGTCCCAGTGAAGCTGCTAGAACAAGTTATTAAAATTGAAGAAAGAGTGATTGAGAAATTGATAAGGGAGATAGTATGCACAAATAAAATGTAGTTTGGATTTAAGCCAGGTAGGGGAATTACAGATGTAATATTTATGGTCAGGCATCTGCAAGAGAAAGCTTTAGGGAAGGAGAGAAAATTTTACTGTGTATCTGTAGACTTAGAGAAGGCCTTCAACAGGATATCAAGTAAATTAGTAAAGCGGGCAATGAGAAAGCTAGAAGTGGAGGGGTACCTTGTACAAGTGGTTATGGCATTGTACGAGGGCTCAAAAATGTCTTTGAGAGTAAATATTGTAGAGGAAAGTGAGGAATTTGAAGTGAAACTAGGGGTCCATCAGGAGTCTGCCTTGAACCACCTTCTGTTTATCTTGGTGCTGGAGGCAATATCACAGGACTTTCGAACTGGTTTGCCCTGGAAGTTGTTGTATGCTGATGACTTAGTGCTAAGAGCAGATAGTATTGAAGAAGCAGTGAAGAAATTAAAGAAAAGGAAGGATGGAAAAGAGTCAAGGGTGAGACTTATTGTGGCCAAAACAAGTGTTGATTAGTGGTGTGGGTGAGGGACCAGTGGTGGAAAGTGGCCATGTGATGTTTGTCAGAAAGAAGTTGGCAGCAACTCAATAATGTGCAGTGAATGTTGAAGGTGGGTACACAAGAGGTGTAATAAGTGTTGAAGGTGGATACACATGAGGTGCAGTGAGTAGATGGCAGATTACAGGGTATCGCTGTCTTTAAGTGTTCTGTATCTGCAAGTACTGTAACCATATGCTCACGGCAAGGCACGAGAAACTCAACATGGGGATATATCCTTGGGATGTGTCAATGAGTTCTGCTGCCTGGGTGACATGATCAGTGCTGGTAGGAGTACTGAAGCTAGTAGCTCAGTTGCAAGTCAAGTGGCTGCCTTTATTAATAGCAAGAGGACCTTCCCTCTGCATGAAAAGAAGAATGTATGCAGCTGGTGAAAGAAGTGTAACACTGTATTGACAGTGAAACAGGCAGATAAAGAGGAAGACATACAGAAAGCAGACTTGAGCGAGATGAAATGAGAATGATGAGGTGGATGTGTAATGTGACATTGAAAGACACGAGTCTCCAGAGCTAAGAGGGCAGCTAAGCATTAAGAATATTGGCAAATTTCTGCATAGAAGCAGGCTGTGATGGTTAGGGCATATGGAGAGAATGGATGAGATCAATTGTGTCAAGAGATATATGAGCCAAAATGTGAAGGGGGAAGGAAAGCCAGGGGCAGGCCAAAAATAACATGGGGAGAGGTTCAAGGACATGACATTAGAGTTAGGAACCTGACAAGAGAGACTGCACGAGACCCCACAGCATGGAGAGCTGCCATCATATAATCACAGCTAACCCACACAGGAGTGGAAAAAGGCCATAAAATGTTGATGATGAATGATGACTGTACTCATATATGTTGCTCACTTTCTGTTGTACAACTGGATTGGGGTTGATTTTTACCACACTTGTTAAAACCATTGATTCACCTGAAGTTATTATTTTAAGCAATCTTTTTCTGATATAGAAAGGACATTGTTTCAACTATAGAACAAAAAATAGATCCTAAAGAAGACAAGTTCTGCCTAGATAAGGCAAGTCCTGCCAGAGGGTAGCTTTAGGGCCATAAAAAAAATTACGTGTGAATTATTCAAAATACATCCACAAGAAGTTGACAGTAGATGGTTTTTGGGAGAGTCAAAAGTTGAAAAATAGTATCTGTACAGCACAAGATTTATGGGGTATGAGAATAGCTCAGCCAGTTAAACTAAAACTTAAGGACATGAGCTTGCTCAAGGCAAATCAACTAAAGATTTTTGAACATTGGAAAAGGCCTGAAATGTTACAGTAAGTATTACCCTCATTTTCTAAAAAATAAAAATAAAAATAAAAGACTATTTATCTGCATCATTACCGATACTTACAATACAGCGACGACCTTACCTGATTGTCCCACAGATATCTGAGAAGCAAAACACACACATTGATAAAATGGTATGATGTTTATCAGTCAAGGTAAGATAATAATAAGGGTACAGATCACCTTTAGATAAGAAGCCATCAAACAAAGCATAGTTTTTGGAGACTTTAACTCTTAAATTTTCACTACTGTACTGTTTTTTCTTAAATGGTCAAATGCTGGGAATGACATGGCAGCAATATTACAAATTTACAGTATAATTATAAACATTATCTACAAAGGGCTAAAATTATGGTTATGCTGATGAATGGTAGGCAATTCCCAGTTGCATTAGTATGTACGGTACAGTAGTCCAGTGGTGGGCACAGCTAAACGAAAAGTTAGCTTCACTAACCGCTAATCTGCTAACTAAAAAGTTAACTTTGCTAACACTAAACCGCTAAACAGCTAAAAAAATTAGCGGAAGCTAACACTAACCGCTAACTTTTATTATATGAATTTAGCTGCTTCTTTTTTTTTTACTCTAAAACCCTTAAAAACAGACCTAGAGAGCTGAAATTTTCATATGTTGTCTTGTAGCTTAGACATAGAGCTTTCCAAAACGGTATAGCATGCCAAGATCAGATGATGATCAAGGTGTACACAAATAATTAAATGAACAAATGAAATTAAACATTAGTTTACATTCAAGTTTCAACATACACTTTATAATCTTTATTTACTGTACGAAAAGACAGAAAGTATTAAACGAATCCAAAAACTATAGTACTGTATAGCATAGGTAGCAAATAGCATCATGCCCAGATCAGATGATGATCAACTTATCAAGGTGTTCACTGTACACAATTTCACAAATAATTAATTTGCATTCTCATACAACCTATCGGCCTTATACATTATTCATGTAAATATGCAATACCAACCACATACACATTATACCAGTGCATTTTTATATAACTTATTCTTGGTCTTAGTCATGTGAATACAGTATTACCCCGCTTAACACGGTTTCACTTAACGCGATTTTGCATATACGTGGTGCCTCGCCAGAACCGAACTTTCACTTAACGCGGTTCATCTACCCATATACGCGCAGAGTGTCCGGCTCGAGACGCTATTTTTAGATTCGCCCCACCGGCCACCCACTCCCGCCTGCCTCGCCTCGCCTCTCCCTCCTCCTCCTTTTCCTCCCTCCCTCCCCTCCTGCCTCCCTCCGCCTGGGCAAGCCGCGCTGTAAGGTTGCGCAGTGTGTGTCTTTGTTGCGTTATCACTGACGTCATATGACATATCGGACTGTGATTAGCCATGCATCCCTACCCCCCTCTGCTGCTAGCTGTAATTGGTTTAAAGTAATATGACGTGTCCACCCGGGGAGGGAGGGAGGGAGGGAGGAAAGAGGAGGCTGCCGCGGTAGTTTCATCCCTCCAGGCCACCCCGTGTATACGTGCATTCATTGTTCTGTGAAATGGCTTCCGCCGGACCACCACCGCCACCAGAGACAAACCTTTCCTTACCTGGACCCAGCCGCCCTAAGCCCAAGAAGACACGCCGTGGCCTAAGCTACGAAGTGAAATACCAGATCATTCAAGATTTGGAGAAAGGAACACGTCAAGCTGATCTCGCGCGCCGGCATGGCGTCAACGAATCTACGATTCGCACTATTAAGAAGGATTCAGCCAAAATTAAAGAACACATGAAAATCACAAAGTCTGCAGGTGCTTCAATGATCAAGTATTGCCAGAACAGGGTGCTGGTAAAGGTCGAAAATTTGCTGGTGAATTATTTGATTCGTCAGGCGCGACGCAACATGGCGGTGGACACGCGCTCAGTGCAGGAGTACGCACGTGAACTTTATGCAGCAGTGTCACGTAAGCTGGGAATTGCAGAGCCCAAACCCTTCAATGCTTCCTCTGGTTGGCTGCATAGGTTTAAGAAGAGGAACAAGATCACCAACATCAACATTGGTGGTGAGGAAGCGAGTGCTGACCGTGTGGCGGCTAGAGATTTTCCTCCGTTCTTACGTGAGGATATGGAGGAAGGACAGTACACTGACGACCAGGTGTTTAACATGGACGAATCTGGTCTTTTCTGGAAAAAGCTACCGTCCAAGACCTTCGTTGTCCAGTCTGCCAGCAAGGTAAGGGGTCGGAAGTTGCAGAAGGAACGCATCACCGTCCTCTTTACCACCAATGCCTCCGGTACCTGTAAACCAAAGTTATCGGTAATTCACACAGCCCGCAAGCCGCACGCCTACAAGAATATGGACATGAACAAGCTTAATGTCCACTGGCTAACCGCACGTAAGGCGTGGATGTCCTCTTCTCTGTCCCTCTTCTGGTTTGACGACTGTTTTGTTCCCGACGTGAAGAAATTCTGCGAGCAAAAAATGTTCCATTCAACATTTTCTTGCTCCTTGACAACGCACCTGGACACTCGCCCCTGCTTATGGATCGTCACCCCAACGTAAAAGTGGTCTTCCTTCCTCCCAACACTACATCATTAATCCAGCCCATGGACCAGGAGTTGATCTGCAATGTGAAAGCTGCGTACTCTGCAAAGAAGTTCAAGCTCCTGAACGACTCTACCAACACCAAGGATGAGTTGCGTAAGCTGGGTGACACCGACAGCGAGAGTAAAAGCAACGAGGACAAGGAACAAGAGGTGGCGACTCAAGAAGTTCTCGTCAAACAGTTTTGGAAGAAGTTTAACGTCAAACAAGCTGTAGACTTCTTGGTGGAGGCATGGGATCAGCTGTCTATTGCTACGATTCGTCACGCATGGAGGCATGTGTTGCATGGCATACCAGGTGAGAGGCGGAGTCAACCTGTGACTGGTGAGGTTCAGTCTGTTGCAGAAGCAGTGGACCTTGCCAGAGAAGCTGCGCACAATATTACAGCTGAAGGCTTCTCCGAGACCACCAACGAAGATATCCTGGATGTGATCAGAGATCCTGAAGTGACTGCCGACGAGATGTTGGAAGATGAGCACGTCAGTGAAGAGGAAGAAGGTGCGTCATTCTCCGAAGAACACAGTTTAACTCATAGTGATATTAAGGGTGCCATAGAGTGTGCAGAGAAAATGAAGTCCTTCCTTTCCCGCGACAATGACGATGACCGCTATGAAGTCTTCCATACCCGGCTGGTGCAGGCTATGGAGCCATACATCACGGTGTATCAAGACAACATTAACACCAGCCGTCAAAAAAGCATTACCGAGTTCTTCGCCCGCAACCCACCACAGCCAGCCAGAGCCAGTGACAGTGAAGGTGACTGAGGGATTTGTCAGGGAAGCCCTGACAACTGTAACTGATAGTGATGGTGATGCACCTAGTAATGGTGATTCACCTGAGGGCCAGTAATCTGCCCTCTGCCTCGGAACCAGCCTCCATCCCTGTATGCCGACCCATCTCTTCTATTAACGTAAGTGTTCAACATAACTTTTAGTTTTCCTAACCTAACCTTTATTTTTCCTAACTTAACCTTTATTTTTCCTAACCTAACCTCTTCTATATACTTGTTTGTGCATACCATCATAAAGTTAAGATAAAATTTTTACTACAACATAGTTGTGTGTCGTCAAAAAGTGGAGTTTGGGGGTCGGGCCAGTCTCTATTGGAATTAATCCCATATGCTCTGTTGTTCACTTAACGCGGTTTTCACTTAACACGGTACCCTGTGGGTTCAATTGACCACGTTAAGCGGGGTACTACTGTAAGCAGAAAACTATAAACTTTAATGAAAAGTAAGTTTTTAGAATATTTTGCTTGGCGCACACCTTGGACGACATCCTGGTTATGAACTTATGCAGTACTTAGCATAACCAAATATATTAAAAAAAAAAAATCCTATTTAAATTAACAAATAAATGAGAAATGAAATTATACATCAGTTTACAATTACATTCTCTGATTCTTTCATCATACACTGACAGTCTTTATTTACTGTAAAAAAAAAGTATTAAACTTTAATAATCGAAAAATTCCATTCACTCCGGCTGCAGTGGCTGGGCCTTCTCCATCGCCTCGACGTGATGCTGGATGCCCTTCATAAACATCAGCCTCTCAAAGTTGCCATCTGACAGGATGGCTCTCTCGGCCCTCAAGATATCTTTGCACTTACTAACACGCAGTCAGCCAAGCATGCCTGACTGGCTGTTAGAGACACGCGCCGCGGCGTCACACGCTTACAACAGACAGGAACAAATACGTATAAATTTTGTTAGCGGACTTAAAGTTAGTGGAACTAAATTTAGCGGAAGCTAATTGGTCCGGTAATGGTTTCCAAAGGTAGCGAAAACGCTAATCCGCTAACAAGAGTTAGCTTCGCTAATTAGCGGTTAGCGGAACCGTGCCCACCACTGTACAGTACAATATACAAACAGTACCACAAGGATATTTAAAATTTGAAACTGAAATCAAAACTGAATTAGAAACAGTACTGTATACACAAGGCTAATTATCAGAAAATTATAACACCACTCTTTCTCTACTAAGTCTAAGTACAGGTGCGAAAGCAAGTTTCTGTATAGACTATCGCAACCTGTGGAGGCATCTGGCAACTCTCTTTTTGTAAACATCCCAAGGCTTTAGGTTAATTTCAAAGTGAACATGGAAGAATTATGATAAAGCATTAATTTCGTAAAACTATGGATGAACAATGAATTTGCGAAGCAAAAGAATTGTCAAACTTTTTAGGTAGTTCCCGGTAGAGCAGTGATTGGAAGAGTTGTAAAGTAACGAAATGAATTTACCCGAGTACTGTACTCGATTAACATTTTTGGGTATCTACTTTATAATCCTTCCGCCCCGGGTGATGTTCCAGAATGCCCGACTAGCGCACCCCGGGTGATATTCCCGAACGCTTGCCTTTTCCCGCCACTGTTTAAATGCCCAGCGCGGGTTATCAGGTTCCAGTGTGACTATTTGCCTGTCACGCTACACGCTCGGCCAAAGGGAAGCTTCCTGAACGTAATTACCTAATTTTGTTTGTTTCATTTCCATTGTTTGTCCATTTTATCAAGTTGTATCAAAGTAATATTGCTAA